GTTCCTAAGAACTGAGCCCGCAGGGAGCTCAATTTTTTTAGAAACCGCTCTCCGCCCTGCCAGCTAGTGTGATTTCGACAAGTTTGGGCGCCCAAGTTCAAGAGAGTTCCTGGCGACAGCCCCGCTTCGAAAACGTACCTCTCTCAAAAAAACCCGCCATCCGTGAACTTTTGCACAAATTTGCAATCGTGGTAGTACGGCTTGTCGAGTCCTCAGCGCAGAGCCCTTTCTGAAAACGTACCAGCCTCCATACAGGCGCGACGCCAAGGCGACATATGCATTTAGAAAAAAGGACCACCCTCCACCTGTGCAAGCGTTGGAGGTTTTGAACACGAGAGTGCGCGGCGCAGAAGCGAGAGCCATATTTCGAACAGTTACCAAAAGGTACTGTACTCCATCCGCGCCATTGTCGAACATGGCAAGTTTCGGGGGGGTCGGAGTTTGTGAGGGAGTCTTGCGCGAAAAGCCCGACCCGACCTACGGATACGTCTGGTGGTGCGATATGGAGTAGGAGGAGTAGGAGGAGGAGGAGGAGGAGCAGGACGGGGAGGAGGATGTGGACGAGCAGGAAGAGGGGGGAGGCAGGAACCGGAGCACGGGGGAGGATGAGATCCCTGATGCCGCGATGCTCAACGAGCCGAACACCTCGCGGGACCCCTCCGCCCTCGCCGCCTGCCTGCCTCGCCCCTTCGCCAGGCATCGTAGGCGCTCGGCGCGGCCGCGCGCGGCGCGCTGAGGCGAGTTTGGGGGCGCGGTCAGCGGGCCTGGGACCAGGCCCGTGGGGTTCGCCAACAAGCTGATGGTCGAAGAGCTGCGGCCCTGGTGGCACGGCCACCGCCTGGAGCGGCCAAGCGACGTCCTCGGCCTCCTCGCAGGCAGGCCGCCGCCTCGGCGGCTTTCCTGCGGCCGGGCGCCCATCCGCCCGCGGCTGAGCCTGGAGAGGCAACAGCGCCCGGCCTTCGTCGGCACTTCGCACGGCACTCGTAGCATGCGGAGGTGCTCCGGCCGGCCGCACCACACCGCAGTTGGCGCTCGCCAGAATTCAGTATGGTTCGCCGATCCTTCTCCCCATCCCCATCCCGATCTCCACCATCCTATTACCCCAGTTGGAGGTATGCCCCTCGAAACCCGAGGAGCACAGCCCACATCCCTACCCAGGGGGTTATTATGTCGGCCAGTGAGGCCCAGGCCCACGCTGGTGCGGATAGGGATCGGATCAACGATGCTCAAGAGCGCACTCTTCTGCGACCCCCCACCCTGGAGGAGTGGTGGGCGAGAAGAGTGCCCCCCCCCCCCGACACGACCTCGATCTCATACCTCGGTCCGCCCGTACACCGCGGAAGAGCAGCAGCGGAGCAGACAGCAGCAGCAGCGGCGGCGGCAGCGCCGCCACGGCTTTAGGGCGGCAGGGCGCCCGCTCCCGGGGGGCGGGTGGCCTCGGAGGGGTGCTGCAGCCGCCCCCGCCCTCCGAGGGGGTGCTGGGCGGCCCGTGCAGCCGCGGTGGGGCTGCGCTGGCCGTGGGCCCCGGTGCGGCGGCCGCTCCGCCTGGTCGGGGGCGGAAAAGAGGGGGGTGATGGCTAGGGGGGGGGAGATATTGACGGGGGCCATGATATTTCCCCAGATTTCATGGCGCCGCCTCTTCTTATTTCATCACGTCCCTGGCCCCCCCGCTGGGCCGCGCACATGCCGCCGGTCATGAGTTGCACCCCCCCTCTTGGACACCCCCCCTCTTGGCCGCTCCCGACCTGGGCAGCGGCGGCCCGTGGCCGAGGCTCTCGCCAAGGCTTGAGCCAAAGCTCAAGTCGGGCCTGTCCCTCTACGGGGGGGAATATTCAAAAACAGTGAAACATTGTATGGGGGCGATTCTCTGGGTAGCTTGGAAGTTATTTTTGGATTATGCTTGGAATGTCTTTTAGTTTTCCGTCGAAAATCCGCCTGTAGGGGGACACGCCCGACCTGAGGCAAAGCCTGTGGCTCGCCGACGGCGTCGATCTTTACCTGCTCGGCGCGGCCCGGCCGCTCGGCTCAGCGGTGGGCTCTGGGGTCCGCCCCCCCCCTGCCCCCGCCTGCATCGTGGCGACGAGGCGGTGCTGCGCTGCGGCCACCCCGACTCTGTTCGCCAGGGTCGTGGCACCAACGCCCCAGCCGTCCCCTCTGCGGCTCTGTTGCACCAGTAGCTGGATACTCTCGCCACCTTTCCGAACCTTGCGCAATGCCGCGCGAGCCGTGGAGCCTGCGAACCTCATTCCGCAGGTCGACGTGCGACCCTGGCGTTAGCGCCGCCACGCCGAGCGGAGTCTCTCTTCCTGCCCGTAACTAGTTGCTGCGCGTGTCCCCGCCGATGGTCCCCGCCAGGCGGATCTCCTTGCACGGCTACCCTCTCGTATCCTCCCCAGTGTTGCCGGCGATCAATTCCACAGCCCGGCCGCCTCAGCTCGGATCGTCAAGGGAAAAATAGACCCCCCGTTTTGCACAATCGCCGTTTACTAAATAAACAGCATTGGGCGATCACTGAACAGCCCTACCTTGCTCGATCCCCTCCCTCTGTGCGTTTACTGAAGGCTGCGCGGGCCCCGAGGGAAGCGGGTCCTGAGGTTTGTCGCCGTTTTCGGGCTCTCGGGGTCCTCCACGGGCCCCGGGGCTGTCAGAAAGCGGCTCAGGACGATACATTCGTCTTGGTGGAAGGCCCCAGGGTCCAGGACCCGTTTCTCTCATGACCCGTGCCCACCCCTAAGAATCAAGCCAGACAGTCCCGCCCTGCTCGAATCTTTCCCAGTGCACGAATACAAAGGGCTGCGTTGGTCGGGCACTCACTATTATGATCTAGGCCTCCTAGATGAGGTCGGAGCAGATGGGGTCGCAGGATCGCGCCGCATCGACGATGCATCGGCGATGCGGCTCGACGTGGAGCCCGATGGTAGGTTCATGCCGACGTCGCTGGTGCATCGCCGATGCGGCGCGATCCTCCGACCCCCGTCCACTCGGACCCCATCCTGGAGGCCTCTATGTGAGGGTGGCCATGCTGCCTTCTGGCGGTGCCCTCGCTGGGCGGCTGGCCCGCGCACGCGCCCAGGCATCGGGGACGAACCCGCGGAGCCAGCAGCACGGGCCCTGCTGCGCACCAGGAGGGAGGAGGGGGAGGAGGAGGAGGAGGAGGAGGAGGAGGAGGAGGAGGAGGAGGAGGAGGAGGGAGGAGGAGGAGGAGGAGGAGGAGGAGGGGAGGAGGAGGAGGAGGGCGCGACGGGCAGCGCGCGCGCGGGCGGGACCCCTCAGGTACATCAAGCAGAAGCAGAAGGCCTGCCAGGATCGTCGTCCGCGGGGGGCGGGCGCTGCGCGGCCAGAGTGGCCCCTCTGCCGCGGGCAGGGGGGGGGGCTGGGGGGCACGACGGCGGCGGAGATCCAGCAAGGCCAACGCAGGTCGGGGGGAGTTCCCCCGCGGAGGGAAGAGGCCCAGCCTCTGCGGGTGTCTGCAGCGGCGCATGGTTGAGCGGTGTTGCAGCCGGTTGGGTGGGGGGGGTGGCAGCAGGGAAGGGAACGGACGAGGAACGAGGAGGGGCAGAAGTACGAGGAGGGGTACGTGGATGAGGGCGTGCGGGAAGAGGGAAGGGAGGGACGGAGGGTGCGAGGGAGGAGGCGGAAGGGGGGTGGGCATCAAATGTTGTTCTGCTCTACTCGTCACGTTGCAATGCAGGTGGGCGGAAACTTACGCAAGTCTGCTCTACTCGCCACGCCACAACGCAGGTGGGGCGTGACAAAATACAATTCCGCTGTGTTTGTCACATGGCAACGCAGGGTGGCAAGAAGGTATTCGATTATGTTGTACTGGAAACGTCGCAACGCAGGTGGGACGTGAACAAATGCTGCCATATTATACGAGCCACGTGGCAACGTGACTTTAATACGGTTTTACGTAGTGGCGACAACAAAACAACACTTGTCTTCTCGACGCGTGGCAACGCAGCGGTGGCGTGAACGAACACGACATATGGTTTTAGTCAGCACGTGGCAGCACAGGTGGCGGAAAGCATACGACTCCATTGCACTGTCACGTGCTGGCGCCGGCGGCTGGCCAAACTATTGCTCAGACTCTACTCATACTATTGGCAACGAAGGGGGCGTCAGAAAGAAAAGAACACGACTCCACTATACTCGTTACGTGGGACTGCAGGGTTGCTGAAACACGCACACACCAGTCTGCTATATTCGTGAAGGCGCAACCCGGGGGAGTTGACCACATATAGTTTATGATCTTCTTACGACGTTGTAATGCAGATGGGCGGAAGCAGTGCTATCCTACTCTATTCGTTACGTATCCTCTAGTCCACTCGTCGCGTGGCAGTCCAAGTGGCGGAAACACATTGTTTTGCTCTACTCGCCACGTGGCATCGCAGAGGGGGCGGAACAGACACTCGTTTAGCTTTCTCGTCATAGGGCAACGCGGGGGAGCTGAAACGCCACTGCTCTTTTCGAGTCGTCACGTGGCGCGCAGGGGGGCGGAATCAAACAACATTCCGCTCTGTCCATCACGTGGCAACGCAGCCGCGGGCGGAAACGTGTTGCTCTTTTGCGACTGCCTCACTCCTGGTGCCGCTGACCAAGCAAGGGGACGATAATGACTACGACGACAACAACGACGACGACGACACTGACTACGACGACGACGACGACGACGACGACGACGACGACGACGACGACACTGACGACGACGACGACGACAACGACGACGACGACGACGACGACGACGACGACGACGACGACGACGACGACACTGATGACGACGACGACGACGCTAACGACGACACTGACGACGACATTCTCAGACGGTGGCGCCGGCAGCGCTCTCGCTCCGCCCACTCCGAGCAACCCACGCGCGCTGCCCGCGGTCGCTAGGCCACCCTCTCAGGCAGCCTTCAGGCCTCCCATGCCCACACCAGGTCCGCACCTGACACCGCAGCCTCAGGACGCGGCTCTCGCAGGGCAGGCCAGCTCCACTCATCCTTTCACCTCCGCGGCCAGCTCCACCAGATGGCGCGGGCCGCGTTTCGCAGGGAGCAGTCGGCCTCGTCGACACAGCCCCCCGTGATCTCCGCCATGCCGTCGCACAGCGCCCACTGCTCCTCGGCATCTCCCTCGAGTCCCTCCCACGCCAGCTCCACCATGGCGCTGGCCGCCTCGCCCATGGAGCCGTCGGCCTCGTCGACGAAGTTTCCCGCGTCGCTGGCCAGGGGCCTTGCCAGGCCGTCGCACCGCTCCCACAGGTCCTCGTCGTCTCCCTCGGACTCCCCGTCCGAGCCGTCCCAGCCATGTTCCCCGACCCAAGGGCAGAAGTCGGCGCCATGCAAGCCGCCAACATCCAGCTCCTCCAAGCCCTCGCCGTTCTCCGACTCCTCCCGGACCGCCTCGAATTGATCCCCGATTCTCTCGGTGTCGTTCCCGGCGCCACGCGTGCATCGGGGACTCGATGAGGCAGGCAGTGGCTCTGAGCATCCAACGCCAGGGAGGGACTCCTCGACCTCCGCCCTCCGCGAGACGACGACGGGGCATCGTCTCTGTCGGGGAAGACGGCCCCGCGGCTGTCGCCACTCCATGGCTCGTGCCGAGCCCTTATCTCCTGCAGCCCTGAGAGCCTTCGCCTCGATGATCGCTGCCACGGGCAGCTTCACGATGCTCGCGAGCTCCCGCAGCGCCTCTCCGAGACGGTGACGACGACGGCCGAGCTAGCGTCGTGCCGCCGATGGAGCAGCAGAGCCTGCCCCAGCGCCGCCAACCTCCCGCGCAGCCCCTCCACTGTGTCGCCGTCCACCCTGCAGTGGATCGCTGGGTCGTCCATGGCCAAATTCGTCGCGCAGCTTGCCAGCACCCTGTCCGCCTTTGCGCTCGCTCACGCCGAAGCCGGCGAGCCAGACTGTCTGCGCACGTCCTCGGCCAGGCCTTCCATCTAGGCAGAGGCTCGGGCCATCGGTCCCGCAGGTCTCCCGCAGCCGTTCCCAAACTCCACGCGGAACACCTCCGGTCGCAGCAGCCCGAGCGCAGATGATGAGCCAGTTTGAGCAACGGGGGATCGGTCGTTGTGGGCGGCTTGAGCCAAAATGGCGACGGACGAGGTCGACGACGACGACGACGACGACGACGACGACGACGACGACGACGACGACGACGACGACGACGATGCGACATTGACGACGACGACACTGACGACGACGACGACGACGACGACGACGACGACGACGACGACGACGACACTCACGACACTGACGACAACGACGACGACGACGACGACGACGACGACGACGACGACGATGCGACATTGACGACGACGACACTGACGACGACGACGACGAGGACGACGATGACGACGACGACACTCACGAAACTCACGACACTGACGACAACGACGACGACGACAACAATGACGACGATGGCGTCGGCGGTGGCGACGGCGGCGGCTGTGGCGGCTACGCGCGTACGCCCGCTCGCGCTCCAGCGCGCCCGCTCGCCAGCACGCTCGCCCGCACGCCTGCTTGCCCGCGCGCCTGCCCGCCTGCAGCGGCCCAGGGCGGGCGTCGAGCGTGACCCGGGGTCCAAGGACCAGGGCCCGCGGAGTCTAGTCTTAATTCCAAGCATATGGCGCGGAGCCCATAGGTCCGCCACCGTGCCTCTGGGCACGGAGTGGGCAGTCCTCACTCCTGAAGAGTCTTCAATGGGGACCGGAGCCGACATTCACAAATCTGGAGTCTAGGGCCCGCCGAATACAGGCACGCGGATGAGCGTCGGGTTCCGTTTCTATGCGGAAGCGGCGCGCTCCGTCGCCAGAGCAGGCGGCTCTGGCGCTGTGCTTCTGGGGGGTACCCTGCCAGATCCGTGGGTCCACGGACCCCTGACCCACTCCAGCGCGCGCCCGAAGGGCTCAGCACTCGGCGTCCAGCGTCCACTGGCTCATCTCAGCACGGCCAGCACACGGATCGCGCCCCTCGTGAGCCTTGTGCAACTCTTCAGCCCAGAAAGGAGACATGGCACGAAGTTCAAACAGTATGGGTTGAAACAGTAAGTTGTCTTGACCCCGGACCCCCGCAGCGCAGCCAAGGTTGCCGAAGCCGGGCGTATTTGCCCTGCGCGTCCCAGCCGCGGCGTTGCGCGAGTCCTCGCCTTGGCCCGCCAGAGAGGTGATCACCCCTCTCTGGAGGGAGAGACAGAGACAGAGACAGGGAGAAAGAGGAGAGAGAGAGAGAGAGAGAGACAGAGAAAGTGAGAGTGCTGTTTGGAGTGTGCGCGCGCATCCCACCCCCCCACAACGGGATTGTGGGGGGTGGGATACTCCTGTGCGCGCGTCGCGATGCCCATGACCCAGCCGCCCCCCGCCCTGCCTCGGCTGCGCCCGAGAGTGTGCTTTTTCTTTGAACGAAACCCCCCGCGCAGCCTCCTGCAGCAATAATCGGAGTGAGGGCGGGAGGGAGGGAGAGAGAGAGAGCGCCCCTTGCTCCTCCCGTGCCGATGGGCATGCTGCCGTGCGCGCCACGACGACGAGGACGACGACGGCGACGACGACGACGACGTCGACCCCTCCCGGCTGTGGACCCCCTCTCCCGCGCGCCACGGCGTCGGGCGGCCGCTGCCCGTGCCCTGCGCGGCCCGGCTCCGCGCGCCGCGCCCCCCCCAGGAGGTGGGCATCAAGAGCACCCTGCTGGAGCTGCCCGAGGAGACCTCGCCCTCGGAGCTGCTGGCGACGATCCGGGGCCTGAACGAGGCGCCCTCCGGCATGGCGGGGTGGGGGGGCGGGAGGCGGGAGGAGGGACGAGTAGGGGGAGGGACGAGGAGGAGGGAGGGGGGGGAGGAGGATGAGGAGGAACGGGAGGAGGGGGCAGGAGAAGGAGGGGCAGGAGAATAAGGAGGAGGAGGGTGGAGCAGGGGAAAGGGGGGATTCGGACGTTCGTTGAGAACGAGGGACAAGACCAGCGTTATAGCCGCCGACGGACAGCGTAGGAGGGAGGATGGACGACCCAGGGGCGGGAAGAGGAAAAACGATAGAGGTGTTGTTGCAGCCTGGGGGCGTATACGGAGAGCGCATTCAGAGGCCAGAGGGTTTTACTATTTTGGAGTGCTTGCAAATGAGAGGAGGAGGAGGAGGAGGAGGAGGAGGAGGAGGGAGGAGGAGGAGGAGGAGGAGGAGGAGGAGGAGGAGGAGGAGGAGGAGGAGGAGGGTGGGAGGAGGAGGAGGAGGAGGAGGAGGAGCTGGAGGAGGAGCTGGAGGAGGAGCTGGAGGAGGAGGAGGAGGAACAGATCGCGTGTTAGAGTCAGGGGGCCACAGCTCTGAGAATCTCAGAGCGCCGTGGATTCCAGGGGGGAGGTGGATGAGCGGGGAGCGGGAAGGGAGGGTGGAGGAGGAGTGGGAGTGGGACGGAAGTAGGGCGGGAGGAGAAGTATGAGAGATAACCCATAAAATAAATGGAGGAGGGAAGAGGTGGAGGAGAGGGAGGTGGAGGAGGAGGAGGAGGAGGAGGAGGTGGTGGAGGATGAGGAGGAGGTGGAGGAGGAGGAGGACGAGGAGGAGGAGGAGGAGGAGGAGGAGGAGGAGGGGGGAGGACAAGAGGGAAGAGGGAGGGAGGGGGAGGGTCCTCCTCCCTTACCATCCTTAACTCCTCCTGCCCACCAAGCCTCCCGGCTGACTGCTCCAACCTGGGCGCAACGGGCGAGCTTCTGCCTCGTTAGCGCTGGCCCAGGTCGGAACGGATACTCTCGGCGCCCCCGGGTGTCAGGGCCCCGGCGTGGGCGCAGAGGAAGGTCCATTACGAGGCTGTTTTGTCCTTCAGGATCTGGCAAGTCTGCTTGCATGGATTCGGGGGGGGGTGGGACGTGCCGAGGCTTGGAAGGAAGTCTGGAGGTCACGCAAGCTGGGACTCGCCCGTGCGCCTTTCGGGCCCCCGCGCTGTTGTAAAAAGCGGCGGGCGCGGGGGCAGGCCAGACGGGGCCAGGACGGGGGCCAGTCCGTTCCAGAGCCTTCCGGAACGCTCTCGGATCGGAGCGTTCCGGAACGCCCTGAGAAGGGCGCGGCGCCCGAGACATCCTCCAGAGCCGCCGGATCTCAGGAAGGAGGGAGAATGCCGAGCCAGCAATCGACTAGACGCAAGACTGACCTTTCGCAAGAGTGACGTTTGGTGCGGGCAGAGATAGGTCCCCAGATGGCTGAATGCGAAGCGATAGCAGCAGCTTGCGCGCCCAGGTTTGGCCACCCCACTTCCCCCGTGAAGCTGCGCACAAAAGGTCATTCTTGCCTACTTCATCCCCCCTCGAAGTCAAACGCAAGTTTTCCCGCGACGTGGCGACACCCCAGGACCCCAAAAATTCAGCGTTCGCGCCGAAATTGGCGACTGCAGACACAGCAATCTGATCCCGTGGGCCTCGTTTCGAGCGTCGACCAACTGAAAAAGCTTGCGTTTGATTTCGAGGAGGATCACGCCGTTGCGCTTGATGTTTGATCACACTAGCACGGATCACGTCACGCCCGATGGGGGTGATGGTCTAGGCCTCATAGGTGGGTTCCGAGTAGAGAGGGTCGGATCGAATCGCCGATGCGTCGCCGATGCGTCTCGAAGTGGAGCCCAATGTTCTTCGAGCTGGTGTCGCCGAAGTACAAGCGACGTCGCTTGTTTTCTGAGGTCTGGGCGATAACGGCCGTGATCGGCCCTCTCCCCCCCCGCCCCCGGATCACGTCACGCTATGTTGCCCACATGTGCAAAGAGATGTCATACGGTTTCTTCGAATCTGTCCTAAGATTTCCGGCGACCCTCCGCCGTGATCTGCTCGGGCGGGGCGAACTCTCCCCCCCGATCACGACCGTCATCGCGAACAGTAACGCACAAGTCTTCGGGGGGATGCAAGTGGAAAGTTACCGCCGACAGGGGCATCATATCCCCGACTTGCCCAGGAACGTGCGGACTCGTTACCAGGGGTCTGTCGCCGATTTATCGGCGATGTCTCGCCGACTACAGGTCGATGTTCCCCCCTATGCAAGTCCCCCCTATCGCTGCCCCTAATGAGGCGGGTTGGGAGGTTCGGTAGCAGCTCATTGGAGCCGTGCGTGTCATCGCAATTCCGTCTTTGGAGTCGAAGACGGCAAACATGCATGGACATGAACGTTAGGAGGTCCGCGCGGATTTCTCGGATCGGCATTAGAGCCCCTCCTTGGCGTGCGGAGCGCGCCAGGGGCGGCTCCAGAGGCGCCGCCAGAGGAGCCCAGCGCCGATGCAAGACATCCGCGCGGAGCTGAAAGAATGCACGTTTCTGTAATTGTGCCGTTCCTTGATGGAGTGCCTCAGCGTCGACTTAGCATCCATCAGCATTAGGCAGCGTCGGTGGGCGTCGACTCGCAGGAGCGAGTAAGATGGGTGGTGGTGGTGATGGTGGTGGTGGTGGTGGTGGTGGTGGTGGTGGTGGTGGTGGTGGTGGTGGTGGTGGTGGATGTGGTGGTTGGTGGATGTGGTGGTTGGTGGTGGTAGTAGTGGTGGTGGTGGTGGCGGTGGTGACGATGGCGGTAATGGTCTGTTGGTTTGTGGCTCCCAGGAGTTGCCACAGGCGGTGGGGAGGGTCGGCCGCGGCCACGAGAGGGGGGCGATGACCACTCGGCATCGCCCGGGCGCGTGCAGGTCTCTCGGCGAGGTCAGCGCCAGGAGGTCTGGACCGTCTCGGAGCATCCTGCACCGTCTTCGGAGGTCAGGAGGGGAAAGCACACAGACACAATGAATCGTCGATTTCCCAGAAGATGTGGGAAAATATGGGAAGTGGGAGGGAAGACGAAAACCCATAACATATCAGAAAAGATGGGGCATCCTGTTA